TCTCTCTCTCCCTCTCTCTCTCTCTCTATCTCTCTCTCTCACACACACACTGCCTCTCTCCTCTTTATATCTTCTACTCTTTAACACACCTCTCTTATACAACGAGTGTGTGTGTGTGTGTGTGTGTGTGTGTGTGTGTGTGTGTGTGTGTGTGTGTGTGTGTGTTGTCACTGTTGTGTGCCCCCTCGTGCGCACTTAACACACGGATGATGTATGATGGAGGCGAACAAGCTGCATGTATACATATATATGTATATGTGTGTACTAACTTGATGTATGATGCAGTTTCTTTAGGTAGCATAGAACACTTTCCGCTCATAATATTATTGTATAATAAAATGAGGAATACAATGTGGATGAGTAGATGTATTCATAAAAACACAGAAAATTCAGCTAAACTTGGCGAGGAACGGCAAGTAAAGACAACTTGGAAGAAAGAATAATTGTGGAAAGCGAGGAAACAGAAAAAGCAACCAAATTTTACCGACCGATCTGTTAGTTCTTAAGAGAGAAACGCCACCCACTAAAGCTTAACGACTCCTACCATCTTAATAATGTAATATATTATTATATCTCCTTGACCTTAAATAAAGCATGTCAGTTACCATCAGAACTCTATCAGGGTGTTGATGTCTAGCTTCAGCATTTCAGATCTCACGGTCAACAAAAATTGTTTATATTAATATTATATTTATGTGTGTGTGTGTGTGTGTGTGTGTGTGTGTGTGTGTGTGTGTGTGTGTGTGTGTGTGTGTGTGTGTGGTGAAAAATCATACCAATGTACCAGCATCTGGGCAATAAAGATACATTTTATCTTCCCTTTTAATCTTATCTTATCTTGTGTACTTTAGTTCATAATCCACCTATTTTTCAGAGTGGTTATCCGTACAATTTTGCGAACAACTCTGTCTAGTTATCCGTACAATATTGTACCGTACAATGTGCGAACAACTTTGTCTTGTTATCTGTACAACGTTGTACGCACAATTGTACGAAGTGCTGCAGGTATCCGTGCCATAGTAAGCCTGTATGCCCGCAGCCTACATGTTCTCTCTTAGTAGATCTAAAAATCTAGATTTACATCTACATCTAGACCTAGAGATTCTAGATCAGTGTTTCCAATATTCCACCAGCTGAAATTAAATTTTTTTCAGACCTCATCTGCCGATCTGATGCCAGCCGTTTCGAATCATGCCTCATGTAAAAAAAAAAAAGAAAAAAAAAAAAGATCTAGATCTAAGTCTAGATCTAGACTCTAGATAGATAGATCCAGAAATGTGTGTTGCGTTGAAATCGTGCTGTAAAAATATTTAAGCTTAATCTACCTCCTTCTGTTGATAGTTGTGAAGGCCGAAATGACAGCGTGTCTGTGTTACAAGAAGTATTAGCCTATATTTTGAGTGTGGGTTCGAATCCCGGTCCCGGAAGTTTTTTTTTTTTTTTTACTACTCCGACTGACCAACATTTTTTCTCTCTCCATAATTGTATGTTTTGACTTCAAAATTTCCACTCGTGGTTTTGTGTAAAAACAAAGAAACATATATAGATCTAGATCAGATCTAGATCTAGTCATAATTATAGATCTAGATCTACTTTATTTTAATAGAAGTATAGATCTAGATCCTAGCCTACTTTTCCTTTAAGGCCTACCAATTTAGGCCGGGTTAAAGTTATTACATTGATGCTCAACCCAGGGGAGAACCAACTGGATGACTAGATCTTATAGTGATCTAGGCTTATTTTTACCAACAACCTCTAAAATTCGAATAATTGTACGAATAACTCTGTCTGGTTTTTAGTACAATTGTACTAATAACTAGTTAGAGTTGTACGCACTATTGTACCAATAACCGCAGCCCTATATTTTTCCCTCGGCTATTATTGAAGACAGAAACATCATGATACTAATAATATTGGGTGCATTTTCGGTAGTTCCCACCCCCCTTATTTGAGCCTGACCTTCATCGAGATCTATACGTTTGATGCGCGGCGAGCTAAGATATCAAACCTAACAACTGCAAAACATCAAATTATGGTAAAATTCAGGGACACCCCCCTACTCTTGAGGCCAAAACCGGCGAATAACAATTGCGGGGTGGGAACTACCGAAAAAGCACCTAATATTGACACAGATATCAGACCTTACTATCTATATATCGGTATTTAAAAACTCCACAACGAAAACAGAAAGCAAACCCAAAACAACAACAACAACAACAACAACAACCAAACAAACAACAAAACCCAACAAAACAAACAAAACAAAATAAAACAACACCAAAGAGAAACAAGCGATAAGACGCACTCACCAGAGGCTGTTGCTACGATGTCGGACTTAGTCTAGATCTAGCCAGAGTCTACTGTTTCACAACAATCTTCCTTGAAACGGTCCGTTAACACACATGCATACCTTGACTGGGGTGACGTCGTGTTACAGCGTCGAGGCTCTTAACTCTAAACAGAATTTGTTTACACAGAAAGCGTTTTATAAGGCTTTCATTCCTTGGAATAATCACAATAACTGTCGTTTCGTTTAGAAGAAAAAAAACAACAACAAACAAAAACATTTTCTCCTTTCCCGGGAAGTCCCACACGATCTGAACGAAAGAGCTGGAGCCCTCTCTCCTGTCACGCCATTGTCCGACAAGCGAGTGGTGGGTGGTGGTTCGTTCCTTCCCAGCTGAGTACGCCGTGACGTACGAACGAACGGCAATGTTTGTAGTGTAGGTTAGTTCAACACAGTTTTTCTCCTCCCCTCTCCCCTCCTCTCTCATCGCTTGGGGCGTCTCCCCCCCTCCCCGCCACAATTCAAGGAGGGAAGAAGAAAGAGGCAGGGAGGGAGTCCGGGACGGGAGCATGGGCGTATACAATCCGTTTGGTAAAGAAACGAAGTGGACCATGAACCACGGGTCTAAAAACTGTGGCTTCGTGCTGAGGAAGTGATATGTGTGTTTTTCTTTAATTTTAATAGGCTAGTTATACAACCGAACTTTTGATACTTTGTTCTTCTGATTAAAGGAAATTCAGCACCTCCCCCAAAATCCCACCCAAC